TTTCGTACGACACACGTTAAGAGTGTGTTGGGAACAGTGGATATTTATTTATTGTGATAGCAAATTGAAGTTTCGTATGACAGACGTAAAACTTGATTGTCATTTTATTTGAGATGGTATTTACTATTTAGCATAGGATTGTTCAAATTAAGCATGTTTCTTAATTCAATATTCAAAGCACTTGATATTCCTCTTGCTCCAAACTTGAGAGAGATGGGGAGATGTATTAGGATAAGATTATGTGAATAACTCTTAAGATTAGACCTATTAAAATCCTGACTGGTTTAAACGCAGCGGTCACGGTTACGGTTGCGGGAGTTTATGGAAACGGATGGTTGCGGTTTCAAACGTTATTAAGCGGTTTCAAGCGTTATTAAGCGGTTTCAACTTATATTTAAATAGCTTAGAGCCGTCATCAGTCAATAGAAAATACAAAAAGTGAATAACTCTTTTAGTTCAAGAGACGAACCAAATGTTTTAACCAAATTATAGATCATATGACATTGACATATATTTGATTATTAGCAATCACAAAAAGATACATTGAATAATTCAACTGATTAAATTCATTTAGGCATATTCGACTGGACCACTTCAATAAACGTTATCTTGAGATTGACATATAAGCCTATGGTGTGAATTGCCCGAAGGTACATCTTTAGATTCAATTGGACAAGAACAACATAAACGTGCGTGTCTTCCATATACCTAATTCCCTAGAAAACAAAAGTATAATACATCCAAATTTTGTTATAAATTGGATTTTTGATAACAGCTAGATTTATATATATATATATATAGCTGGATATTTGTATTTGTTAAAATATATCTCCATTTTGCAGGTTTCATCAACCAATTAAATTTGATACTCTTCTAAAATTCACACTTGTCTTTTGTAGTTCAGTAGTTTCATCATATGCGATTCTGCATGCTTTCATACTTTTTCCTAACCGGCCATAAGCACAGCCAACTAAAACATTGGTTTGTAGCCCCCAAATATTTTGTTGCAAAATTAGTCCCCAAAATAATGTTTCTTGCACATATAGCCCTCATTTTTCTAAAACTTCAAGTATTCATGTCAATTTTATTTTCTGCTTTGCTTTGTCCCGATATTTTTTGAGACCGGCCATATCTTATTATATAAACCTTTAACCTTGGTTTTCAAAGTTAGCCATTAACAAGATCGTGACACGTGTCAATTATAAACTATAAGATATTGACACGTGTCGTAACTAATTTTGATAATATTTGGATAAAATAGAAATATTATTAACCCTATCGAAAAAGAAAATATATAAAATAAATATTATAAAGAATTATATATTAAAAACTATTAATAAATTAAACAAATAACCTAATTTCAGTTATGTCAATTTGGTTTATTAATAAGATAGGGATTTAAAATTTATAATTAACAAGAATATACAGCGGTTTTTGTTTACATAAGAGGATTAAGGTTTCAACTTTAATTTTACAATTAAATCAGGTTATTTGTCTGTTTGGGTATATAAATGATAAATAAAAATTATGGTTTATCTTTATAATTAAATTAATGTTAGTTTAACAATTAAACGAGATTATATGTCGAACTTGGGTCGAAACTTGGTTTTTA